TGTAGGGGTCCAAGCACATGGGCCATCTTTGGCTACTTTCCCAAGCTTGTTAGCAGAGAGCTGGATCAGAAGTGGAGCAGCCAGGACTTGAACCACTGCTCATATGGGATGTTGGTACCGGAAGTGGTGGCTGAACCCACCTTGCCACAATGCCAGCCCCCTCATTTTGTTTCAGTGTCTGACTGCAATATTTAAAAATACCTGTCTTCAAATTCAGATGTTCTTTATTCCCATTGATCTAGTTTGTTTTGAAGCTTTCAACTGCATTTTTTTTATTTGCCTTCTCTTAAGTTCATTTCCATGATATGTTGGGATCTTTTTCAAGTCTTTATCTCTTTGTCGAATTTCTCAACTGTATTTTGTGTGTGTGTGTGTGTGTGGTTTAATTTCATACAACTCTCTGTGTCCTCTTGTATCTCTTTGAGCACCCTTCCAATCATTCTTTTGGATTCTTTAACAGGAACTTTGTCAATCTTTTGTTCCTTGAGGCCTGTTACTAAAGCATTTTGATCTTCCTTTGGGGCTGTCACATGGCCTTGCTTTCTCATACTTCCTGTGTCCCTATGTTGATATTTCTGTGTCTGGTGGATTAGTTGTTTCTTTTAATAAGTAGCTTTCACAGTAAAGGTTTTTTCTGAAGGGGTGTCTTCAGATACTGGTGTGATAAGCTATTTTGGCTTTATTTACAGTGGATGCTGTAGTATAATCTCTCCTAGCAGGAGCAGTGGGAACATCGGGTGCTTTTTTTTCAGTTCCAGCAGGGTGCCTGGGTGTAGGGAGCAGCCCATAGGTCAGGGTCTGGAGTCACGAGGGGCACTAGCTTCAGTCCTGTGGCTGGGGTTCTGGGAACACTGCCCCAGGGTCCCGGAGGGGTTGCTTGAGTCCCGCTATTGCCAAGGGTGTGGCCAGGGTTGGTACTGCTGGCCCAATGTTCAGGAGGGGAGATTGAGGCCCTGCAGTACCAGCCCCAGGTTTCTATGTAATGTTTTGTCATCCATCTACCTTTCCTGTCCCAAAGCAAACAATTACTCTGTTATGAGGCCTGCACTTGGGTAAGTGATGAAGCGAGCACTCCAGTGGGCCCCATGCCCTAATGCTGGAACACACTTGGAGCTCACAGCCTGCAAGGCCAGCATGGCATGGTGGAGGGCTAAGGCCTACTTCGCTATGGGCTGCCTACTGCTGAGGTGGGTTTGCAGCTGAGGACACTAAGAACAATCAAAAACGATGCTAGCAGGGATATAAATCCTATTGACTGGGGCCACAGATCTTCTTGTTCCATCCACAGATATTGGCCTAGAACAGTGTATCTACCCAGTGTTTTTATTTATTTATTTATTTATTTAAAAGGCAAAGTTGAGAGAGAGAGAGAGAGAGAGAGAGAGAGACACCTTCCATCTGCTGTTTCACTCCCCAAATGGTTTCAAATCCTGGGGCTGGGTTAGGTTAAAACCAGGATGCTGGAACTATATCCAAGTCACCCACTTTGCTGGTAGGCAGGGCCCACGAGGTCAGTTTGGAAGCTCAGTGGGCTTACTGCTATTCTATTGATTCTAGCATTCTAAAGCTATGGAGAAGAGGACAGCTTCTCATTCAGAGCCAATGCACTGACTGGGTATTTTATGGTTACTCACGGGTGGCTGTGAGATGCGGACGATAGGGGCATAGCCAACTCTGCTTTCCTTCTCCCCACCGAGAGCTGCTGGCCTCCTTAGGAAACCCCCACTGGAGTTTTCATAAATAAAACAGCATAGAAACACCCCGGGGGCCGGCCTGTCCCTGGAGTATGAAAGGAATTAGTGTTCGTCAATAGAAAAGGAAGCTGTGTGTGAAACCCCCAGTGTAACATGGTTTTCACCCCTGGGCGTGGGGCTGAAAATACCACAGATGACAGGGAGAGAAGGGTGGTGTCAGGAGGGGCTGGCACGCGTGCTTAACCCTTAGGCTGCCAGGTTGGTTTCATAGCGCGTATGTGCAGGATCTTTTCCTGGCAATAACTATTTCCTATTTCCAGGCAATAACTGAGACCTACCCTGGGCCTACGAATATTCTGTACCGCATAAATAAATGCGGCAAAATCTCCAAGACTCCTTCTTTCAATTATGTAGATGAAGAATCATGAAAAGCAGAAAATTAAAAAAACAATACAAAGCTATAAAAGGGGCAAAAATATAACTGATCAGACAAAAGTCTCTTTCAGATCAGGTCCCGTCTTTCTCCAAGCACAGCCTTTCTTATCCTGCTTGCTGATATAACATGACATGGACTGAGGCCAAGGGTACATCCACATGCAATTCTGTGTGTGCACGTGTGTCACTCTGTGGGCTTGAGGACTCTGTCCATGCACACACTCTAGTTGTGCTTGTACACAGCTGGGCATCCCAATTTGGTCTCAGAGAGCAGTGCCTGGCAATAACTGAGACCTACCCTGGGCCTACGAAGCCTGGAGACTAGACAGCTACACACCAGCCAGAAGGAGAAGCCTCCAAGTTATTCGAACTGCCACGACCATTGATTTAGGACACCAATTCATTTCATTCACTCTAAATCAAACAGAAATAAAAACCCAAGCATGATCATGCCATGACAATATTGATATTCTAATCCCAGTCTTGTTTTCCGCTGGAGGAAGCCTGCTACATGACACTTTTGGTCTTGGAGTGTAGTCGTTTGGTAGCTGGACAGTGATATAACTGCTTGCAAGTTTTCACGCGGGCTGTTTCATTTCTGAAGCTTTCATTTTGTGAGACACTCCAGAAGCTACAGGTGTGGCACAGTCAGTTATTCATATCAATTTTTTGGGATTTTGCTGTCAAAGCAGAACACTTCAGAAGGTAGAATTCTCTTTCCCATCCCTGTTTTGGAAGTTAGTAAAAAACACTTTGTGGGCAATACGGACTGTTTTCACATTTTACCACGAGTTAAGAAAACACACGTAATGGGTTGCAAATGGAAAGGCAAGTTCTAGCTTAACAATGTATTCTGAGATGTGAAAAGAGGTGTAATTGACTGTGGGACATCTGCCCCAATAGTAGGTCCTGCAGGGACGTTGCTGTTGTATACAGAATATGGGGGCTCCAAAAACAAAGAATGACATAAGCCATTCAACCTAAAATATGCAATGGAATCTATACCTGAACAGCAGAATTTGAAGACCAAATTCTTTTAGGACCAAAGAATGGACACCTTGGGCAACCCCCAACAAATAGTAGGCGTGTAAGGCACACACAGAGCCCTTACTCCGAAGGAGGTGCTGCCATGACGAAGACATTCCTCTAACATACTACCCTGAAACACTGTCCAAAGGTCAGTTCAGATAACTGGGAGTTGATTCATTTATACTCCTTTGCAAAAGATTGAATGGCTGCAATGTAATTGAGGTTGAGATAATGTTCAAATCTCATCCTTGTCTGACCTCAGAGAAGTTTAAAGCATAATGGTGCAGAGGGACGTGGGGAGATCAATAGCAAAAAGTTGATGACTGTGTAATGTTCCAACTATATAGGAGTAAGAGGTTCTGAGGGGCCGGCGCTGTGGTGTGGTAGGCTAAGCCTCCACCTGTGGTGCCAGCATCCCATATGGGCACCGGTTCGTGTCCCAGCTGCTCTTCTGATTCAGCTCTCTGCTATTGGTCTGGGAAAGCAGAAGAGGATGGCCTAAGTGCTTGGTCCACTGCACCTACGTGGGAGACCAGAATTTGTTAGCTTTTGGCTCCTGGCTTTGGATTGGACCAGCTCCAACTGTTGTGGCCACTTCCGGAGTAAACCAGTGGGTGGAAGACCTTTCTTTCTGTTTCTCCACCTGTCTGTAACTCTGCCTCTCAAATAAATAAATCTTTTTTTTTTTTTAAAGTTCTGAGGTTTTATTGCATGGTAAGTAAAAGTGCTATGTATTTTTCTGCTTAAAACAAAAACGTAAAGATAGAAATTTAATGTTTTCACTACAAAGAAATGTTAAATTCTTGAGGACATGGATATGAACTGCTTGGACATTGCACTACACATGTATCAAAACAGCATATGGTACCCCAGAAATGTGTACAGTTCTTCTAACAAAATACTTTAAAAAACAAAGTATGGGAGGTCAGTGCTGTGGCATAGTGAGTTAACACCCAGGTGTGTGGCACTGGCATCCCATATAGGCACTGGTTCGAGTCCCAGCTGCTTCACTTCTGATCCCACTCCCTGCTAATGCACTTGGGAAGCTCGTGAAGAATGGCCCAGATCCTTGTGTCCCTGCACCCATGTGGGAGACCCAGAGAATGCTCCTGGCTCCAGATTGGCTCAGCTCTGCCCATTGCATACATTGGGGAAATGAAGCAGTAGATAAGACCTCTCTCTGTCCAATAAATTAAAAACAAACAAACAAAAGGCATGGAATGGACATTTGTTGCAATGGTTAAGCCACTACTTGGGGGGCCTGTATCCCATACTGGAGTGCCCAGGTTGTAGTCCCAGCTCTATTCTTGAATCCAGCTTCCACTATGGGAGGCAACATGTGATGGCGCAAGTGGTTGGATCCCTGCCACCCTTGTGGAAGACACCAGACTGAGTTCCTAGCTCACGTTTGGCCCAGCTCTGGCTATCATGGGCATTTGAAGTGAACCAGTGGATGGGAGATTGAGGTCTCTCTGTCGTTAAAAGGCACAACTCTCATTCCTTCCACTTCTGTGACACTGGATCTAGTGAATATATTTTTTTTCACCTGTAAAAGAAGGAATCAATTTCTACTGTCTGCCCCATTAAGACTGCTCTGGGCAGCCAAAAGATAAGAGAATCCTGTGATACCCCTGCAAGGCTAGACACCTTGTGGGAACGAAGTCAGCGGGACCAGAAGCACGTCATTGCTGGGTTGCTTTGGAGAACCGAGGAGGAGTGGCCTCACGTCCCTCCCATGAGCATAACAGGCCCAAAGGTGGCACTAGCTTTTCTGAGTAGTTCTGTGCCCTGGATGTCCTTTTTGAATTGCTCAGATCAAGAGAGAAGAGAAACCAGAAACAGTTCGATTTTAAATCAAAATTTATGATTTTATTTTTAATACACCAGAAAAAATATTTCTTTTAATGTTGTGAAATAAGCACTTGAAAATAACAATTCCAACATTGCTGTGATTTGCTCTGTGAGGCTTCTCCGAGTGGGCATCCATCTGAACAGAGACGCTGGGGCCCCTAAGAAGCTGAATCTTCCAGTGGTTCTCAAGGTAGCAGCAAGCAACCTCCTGGCTGCACAGCCCCCGACAGACATCCCTGCCTGAGGCGAGCACGGTCAGAGAGAGCACATTTGGGCTACTTCTGTAGCCTTCTTGACCTCTGTCCACTGAAAGGGAGGCTCAAGCGCCACCAGGCGTGGGGAAAATAACAGCACTTAAATAGCAACAGGAGTCAGGATCTTTCAATTTGAGCCTACATGGATTGCAAATGTGGCTTGACCCTGGATAACGGGACAAGTTTCTTTCACTTAAACAGTATCTTTAGAAGGTATTTACCACAACAGACGGGAATTTGGGCTTCCAGTGAAGTCTATGTGACTGGGACTTCTGCCGGTCCACCCTAGAAACCCAAGGTGCGAGGCTGCGCTCCAAGGGGCCGTCTGGACCGCTAGCGCATCGTCTGCACTCTCTTTAGAACGCGGAAGGCAGGAGCAGGGGTGCCTCATCACCACGCCCACTTTCTTCTGTGAATTCTGATATAGCAAAGGCTCTGAGGATGAGAAACCGTTGTGAAGTCGTCCGTGCTGGGCACAGGGGCCCTCAGCTGGCCTCTCCAGCTTGAGAACCTGCCGCACGGCTTGCACATGCTTGTAACTACAATCGGGCACAGCAGGCATCCTGGGATATGCTGGTCCTGCACTCGTATTTGTTTTATGTAGCTTTTGGGCACTAGTGTACAGAGGCTGTTGGCTCCTTGGCGAACTGAGACCCGGCCCTTCAGACTGATTGTCGGAACACAACAGGGTGGTGTTCAGCGCTCAGCGTGTGCATCTACACGACAGGCAAAAGGCGGTGGTGCATTTGTAGCAACATCTCTTCCTCATGGCAACGGGTCTGAGGCACAAAGATTAGGTGTTGTACATAAATAGAAAAGGGACCAAAGAAAACTTAAAAAGAAAAAAAAAAAAGCCGTAGGAGACAATGACCCACAGCACGAACACAGGCTCTCCGATCATCCCAGATAGCAAAGTATTTATTATTGAAAACAAAGGTTGGGGGGAAAAAAGACTACATTGGAGTACTGGAAAGTTGGAGGCCATCATGAAATTCTCACACAATGGAGCAAAAGTTTCATGATGGAAACTTTTTCAGGGAAACAAAGTGTCTAAAAGAGACGTGGACCATGAGTACACAACTCCAAGCTCTGAAGCTGAGAGGCTAAGTCTGTTTGGTCATCTCTCCTGACAGTGCACCTGGCCAATCCAGCAACTCTTATAAAGAATCATTAACCAAACTGTGAAACAAAACCAAGCCAAACCGTCAGAATGTGCTGTAGCTAACTTAGTTGTGCAATACATACTCTGAGTAGAACCTGCTCTATCAGTCTAAAGAAAAGATAAGTAACCTGAGTAGGCGATCTCTCCCAGGTCATTCAGCAGTTTAGGAATACAGCCAGACTTCTAGAATACTTGTCTCCAGTGTAGTTGACTCCAGGTGCTTGGTTACTCTGTTGTGACAGGCTTTGTCTTATAAACATACTACACTTGATTTTTTTTTTTAAATTATGTGAGGTTCTCTCCTAGACCTGTTCTCTTAGTTTCATACTGTCTTTCCATTCAGTTCTCTAAAAACCCACTCAGATGACGTTTCCAACTTACGCTTAGATACATTGCTCACTAGACTAACTGGTTTCTTGACATAGTCTCCCTCTTCCCCTCATTTTCATAGTGGGCTAGGATTAGAAGGCTGGCAGTAGATTACCTGGAATCATAACCTCAATCCTTGATTTTAGTTGGGTGCTTTGGTCTGGCACTGGATATAAATAATATGGTAGTGACTCTTTTCTCAGTTGTAAAAGAAGGTCCGGATGATACTCCCTGCTCTATGAATAGAGTATTTCTCACTAGGATTTCATTGCAAACTCACAGACATGGGTTGATGCTCAGACCTAGGGTAAGAAATCATATATACTTATATATATTATATCAAAGATTTGTGGAGTTTTTCCCCAAGCCAGAATATGCTTTTACCATATTTGTATTGGAATGCAGTGGAGAATCTCTGCTAGAAAGATATCTATTGCCGCACAGTGGGGCGGCTGTAAAAACTCTACCTGCCCATGTTTTTCTGGAATGTTAACCGACAGCAGGATTATCTATGTGGCAGTCAATCCTCTGGCAGGTTTTAGGCTTGTCATGGGCCAGCGATCTAGCCTCATATCATGATGTAATTAAAGTGGCTGAGCTGAGATGTTAAACAGTGCACTGAACCTGTAATACCAGATTTTTTTTTTAAATGTGTGGCTTTCTTCCTCCCATGATAAACACTGGAAATGCCTCTACAACTGTTTAGCTAGTTTAAAAACTATTTATTAGACACTCAACCTGAAAACGAAAGTTCTAAATTATTATACAAGTGGACACAGGCGTGAGCCTAACCCAGAGGAAAGTGCTTTGGAAGCTTCGTTGAAGAGTCTTTGTAAGGTTTAGGCTCATTTCTTCATTCTAACCTGCATTAAAGGATCTGTGATCATCCACAGAATAATTAAATTAAGTCAACCAGATGAGCCTCAAACTGGTCCTTCAATTAAACTCAAGTCAACTGTTACGGGGCCTTTTCCCTCACTTTAATTATTCCAGTTACTTTTCTGTTATAAGGAGGGGAAGGCTTATTGCACAGTATCATGTATCTGCAAAGCTCATAATAACATTATTGGCATCCTAAGAACCTATCAGTTGTCATAGCAGGACCTGTCCTTTCAGCTCATGTCAGTTTTTGCCGTAATACTAATAATACATTCCTCCATGGATCACGGCTCACCTCTGAAACAACATCAAGACATCATAGACCTCTCACAGTAACTTTTCACACAGACGCTAACAGCCTCCCTTCGTGCGCGTTCCCCCCAACCAGTGCTTGTCGTCATGACTTGGGTTTGCATGGATCCTCTGTTCATTGTTCAAGCCATTCACACAGAATGGAATACAACTTTATTCTTTTGAAGTTCCACACATAAACAAGAGGCTGATAAAGCCCTTGCCATCTCTGACAGAAAAAGCAGAGCAGCTCTGTTTCATGAATGACAGCACAATTAAAGCTAAAATAATATAAAAATAATTTGAAAAATCCCTTTTACTGTACACTCTCAAATAAAGCAAGAAAGATAAACAACAGTTTCTTTTTCTGCTAGCCAGAAAATGTGTTTCTAGTCATTTGGGCTTCGAAGTTCAGTGTACCCAACAACAGTGTGCATATATGTGTATGTGTGTATAATCTATGCAGTGCGGTAGCCCCTAATCTTTTCATCTATTTTTGCCTAATCATTAAGCTACTTAACCAATTAGAATACTATTATATCACATTGAACAACTTTACATAATTGCTTCTTTGAAATACTAGGAACATTGACACATTTATTTGGCTTGTGTAAAGGACTGGAATATTACAGATAATATCATCTAGCATTTTGTTTGTTTAAAGAATATGGCTCTTCATAAATTGATTTTCTGAGTTCCAGAGCGAAAAGTCCCTTTTAAAAAAATTCTGAAACTGATTTGAAGCAGGACGAATGTCTTCTGATTTGGCCAAAAATATGAGGAGTGTTTTACAGTGTCTAAAATTTGACGGATATGTCTATAGGGGGCCCTTGTTGTCAATGGTTTTCAGCCAAACTTGCCATGAAGCACGTTTGTCGCAGTATCTCCACTCGGCCAGCAGAGGGCACTTTAAACATCTCTACATTGCTTGGGGAGCAAGTGCAGATGATGCAGAAACACAGTGTTCACCCTATATCAGAAAAAGTCTTGCAGGTTTCTTTTTGAGATTCACAAAAATAGAGAACATATGGACTGTGCCATAGGGTTTCATTTGGAAAGCAATGAGCATGTGTGAAGTGAAAGAGGGAGGGGCATATGTGTCGTCTGTGGAGTTGATTTCCGGTTCACTTCTCTTGCCGTCGTCTTGCCTCCTTTCCCAGCTAAGAGGGAGTTTTCATAGTTCTGATTCTGTATTTCACTCTTCTGTCTGGGGCAACTGAACAAAGGATAATGCTTCCTGTCTCATGTAAGAGTAGAAATCACAGACCATCTGTCACACACGCTCTGGGACGGAGCCGCCCTTGGAGGACCCAGGCTGCATTGTCCCCATCCTCCCTGGAAGAACCTTGGAAAAGGACCCTGCCCTGTTTGGTTCTGGCAAACTCATTTAACATGAGGCTATGCAGTCAAGGGAAAAATACTGCTCTTTTTTTTTCCCCTCTACATTGAAATTAAAAAAAAAAAATGACTAAGACATCTTTTCTCACAGGGGCTACGCCAGTTAGCCTTTCTTAACAAAGCTTCATTTCTGCAAAAGTATTATCGTTCTAGATCTACACCCTGTCTCTTCCGTTGGTCTCTCTCCTATTGGTTCCAATTTCGTGCTGAAGTAGATGAGAATGGACTGTGTGTCTACGTGCACTCGCGGTTTCTTAAAGTCAAATTTTTTCATCCTTAGAGAAATAGAACACCTAGTAAATACATTTGTTTCATGTAGTGTTAATAGCCTTTGTTTGCCTTCTGCTCGTCCCTCTCTGTCTCTGGCTCCCTTTAGCGCTCATTTGTTCTGGAGGTGACAGAAGGAGGGAAGGGGGTCGCCAGGAGCAGTGCTTGGAGATGGAGGTGCACTCAGTGAGTTCTCACCCGAAAAGGATCATAAACTTACTGGGTTATGTCAATCTAATTATCCCTCAGCTGCCTCGGGTTCTGTGTTTGCTCGTGTGTTTTGTTTTGTTTTAGCTGCACCATGTGTGATTCCTTGTGCCATTTTCTTTTGTCTATTATTTTTCTTGATGACCCTGAGCTATGGCTTCCTCCTCAGTTCCAACACTATTCAGCCTTCGTTGTTTTCCTCATTTTGCCGATGTAGGCCTCAAAGAAGAAATGGCAGAAGAGCACAAGGTAGCTGAGGTACATGAGTGAGGACCAGAAGATGTTCTGAAAATGAGAATGACACTGGTCCTGCTGCATCCAGTAGAAGACCAGGTAGTTAATGACACAGCCCATCAGCATCTGAGTGATCTGGGACAAGGTGATGAACATGGCAAACTTCCGGGAGACTCGGAAACCTGCAGCCCGCAAGGCATAGTAAGAGTACATGACGGCGTGCACGCCGTAGTTCATAGTCATGAACCAACCACCCCCGGCAACCATGTCTTTGTAGGAGTACCAAGAGTACAGGAGCACAGTGATGTGGTGGTACCAGTGCAGGAAGATCAGCTTCTGCTTCCTCAGAATAATGAATATTGTATCTCCTGAAAGACAAAGACAGGAGAGAATGACCGTGAGCCCCCGATCATGCCGTCATGACAACTGATGGTCTGGGAAGCTGGGCCTAGAATCTGGGAGCCACACGTACTGTACTTACTAGCCCTGCGGCCTTGAGCAAGTTCCTTATGACTGCGACTTTCTAGTTTCCTCTTATAAAGTGGGGTTAATTAATAACAGTCTGAAGTTTAAAGAGGCCATTCAACAAGTCTTTATACATGGTAAGTAAGCAACGGATCTTATGTTTAAGGCATGTGAGACAAATCCCATTAACTTTTGATCTGGAAGGAACATCAGCAACCATGTTCCAATTCCCACCTCAACTATACATTTTGGGAAATACCATCTGGAGAGGGTGGGTGATTTGCTTCAGGACATTTGTCAAGCAAGAGACACCTGCTGGAACTTAAGTGCCCGCAAAATGTTCTTGTTCTCTGTAGAATAGTGAAAGGCTACAGTTTTTTATTGGTCCACAACAAAAGGCATCTCTCAAGGGCATAACTTTGGGATCGTCTAAAAAATGTGAAGCCTTGCTATTTGGAATGAAAAGAAAACTTAAACAAAAGGGCCAAGGCAGGGAAAAAAAACAAAAAACAAAAAACAAAAAACGGGGGAACAGAAGTCTTCTTTTTATACACATTTGCTGATGAGAGTATAGCAATGAGTCACAAGAAAATTACAGTTTTTATTGTAGAGAATAAACTGAAAAAGCTTTCTAAGATCTGTCAAGACTTTTCTAACAATATCCCTTTGAAGGAAAAGCCCTCTCTTTTCAGAGGTAAGGAATCTCCACAATGCAAACTAGAATTCATTTCAGGTAAGCAGATTCTACATAGTCAGCCTGCAATACCAATAGGTTCTGCATCCATGGATTTTATCAAATGGGATAGAAAATATTTTTTTAAAACTGCATTTGTACTTAACACACACTAAATTGTTTTCCTTTGCCATTAACCCCTCAACATTTCAGCCTAACATCTTTGCACATAGCATTTGCATTGTGTTGGCTAGCATAAGTAACCTAGAAATGACTTAAAGTACATGGGAAAATGGGCAGAGGTTCCATACTATTTTATGTAAAGGACTTTGGCAATCAGCATTTTGGTATCCTGGTGGGGTGGTGGGGGTGGCGAGGTGTCCTACAGCCAATCCCCCATGAACACTGGTGACCTCAAATGGCTTCTTGTGTAACAATGAGAGCTAGAAGGTCCTTCCTATCCTGAAGTTTAAGCGCAAAGGGAACTAGTACTTAGTCTGCTCCCTCACATTCTCCATGGATAGCTGGAAATGGGTGGCAATACACAAGGTCAAAGAGCCCTGGGCCCTGGGAAGACTTAACATTCTGACGGCTGTGGTTGGAATATACAGGGGCTGCCTCCTTCCATCACTCAAGAACTATTAGTTTATTTCCCTGCTGAACTGTTAAGCATTATGTTCAGAGCACAAGAGGAAGGATTCTAATTGCTACATTCTGAACCTATCATAAAATTTCTGTTGAAATCGTCTTCTCTCTTGCAAAACGCCTGCTTTGTCTGCAACTATCAGCCAGGCTCATCCAGACACATGGAGATGGTAACTCTCATGTGTAAGCTTAAAGGACAGAACTGGTGTCAGGAGACCTGCGGTCTACTTCTTAGCAGTAAACTGGGCTACCTCTGCACGGCTGCTAAAGATCCACTCTGTTCTGTGGGGCCTCCCCTCTCTCTGCAGACTATAGTGCAGACACAATAACTCCAGACTACCTCTGTTCACAGTGGAAACACTGTAGAAGTCCAAGGAACTGTATGTCAAAATCAAGTTTAATCATTCATAATTGAGATGTTTTTAATGTGTTAGTATTAACACAAATATAAGCCCCACATGACACAGCAATACAACCTGTTTGCCATAAACAAGCATTTAATCATCGCAAATTCTTTAGATTTACCTCTGTCCTCACTTTCATGTTAAAAGCTGATCCTATTAGAAGGGCTAATGTGGAACAGAAAGTGGAGCCTGCAGTCAGTCAGTTCTAGCTTTGAGAATCACTTTGTGTTTCTCCTGTCTGGGGCACAGGTTGGAGCTTGGGCTTGATTTGAGTCACTTAAGGTGCTTCTACTTCCTTTGAGGGAGGAGGAGCAGCATGAATGGGAAAGGAAGTGTCATAAAATCTTGAAATCAAAAAATCAAAATTAATTTGAATTCAACTAAGAACCTCATCCAGAACAAATATGCAGGATGGCAGACGGCATAAGAAATATCTCCCAGGAATGGCTCTGGATCAGCCAGCCGGGGCACCATTCTATAGCTACTTAAGGTTACTGTCCCCACAACGGGTGCCCCAGAGAATGGTATTTCCTTTGGAGAAACAAGGGTGGGCAGGGGTGGGGGAGAGGGCCTTTGACATTGCAGCTGAGACCTGCCAGTCACACGATTCTGGCAAGTACGAGTTATTTTTTCTCCAGGGAACTACATAATATCACATTTAATTTATCACAAGCCGAGGCCATTCTGAGTTGTGATATTTACCGAATTGCCCAGCAGCAATGGAATGACCCAGAAATGTAAACCATCCTGCAGACTGTACATTTAATGTTGGCCACTGGCCTTATGGAGAGAATTCTGGGGAGGTACACACAGGCGGTTCCAGTCATGGCACCCATTTCAGCTACCTCTCAGGTCATGTTCTCTTTATTATGGTCTCGCTAACCTCCAGGCCAGCTATTTTCAGCCCAGACAGCTTGCAGAAAGGGCGTGGGATTTCTCACATCTATGTGTTGCCCCTGAGCCCGAGCATTTCCTACCCATGCACCTGCCAAGTGTGACTCTCTGTAGCTATGGAGGAGTCATCAGCATCTGGAAATCTCCGGGGCACTCAGGGCCACTAAGAGCCGAGGAGGGCCTACTCTGTATCTGTGTGCATTGTTACAGTCGGCTGGGGCCCCGTTCACAGGGTTAGTTGGAGTGCTGCTGAGTCAGTTTTAAAAACAATGACAAGCTCAACAGAGCAAGGACCTAGATTCAGAGCAGATGTTTCCAAGTTTTACCAACAGCAAATCTCAGCAGGTTTTAACATAATTCACACAGTAGGTGCTAAAGACCTGACCCAGAATGCAGGGCGGTGGCTGTCTTCTCTGAATTTGTCCTAGTAATAGAATGCATAGGTACAGATCTTCATTTGGTGGAAAAAGTTTTGAGGATGCATGGTGTGATGGCTGCACAACACATGGATATTGCGTATAGTGTATCACACACACACACACACACACACACACACAAACCCAGTTCAGGGAAAACTGCAGGCATGCAGTTATAGGAGGAAAATACAATTTCATTGTTGTCTGTGGAAGAAATGTTCTTCATTCTCATCAGTAGAAGCTTAGAATCTTAGAATACCGAAAGGCACAATCTAGGATCTAAAAACATGAAAAATTCTCAAGAGCCCTAAATCTTTCTCAATTTAACAGAAGTGACAAGGTTTCCTGACTACAGAAAGCTGGGACGGAATATAACCTGTGACAGGTGCAAAAGGGCATCCACGGGAATGTGCTCACTAAGTAGGGCCAGGACTGGCTGACTCGGACACTCCCGCTCTGAGTTTTGATCTGATTTGACCCCACCTCTGCAAGGCCATTATCCAACAGGCTCCAGAATATTTGAAGGACAAGATTTGGCATTCTAAAATTTAAAAAAGGACACTCAGAACATGAGAATATTATTATCAATCGATCCCTTCTCCTGACAATAATGGCTTTTCCTAGAGAAATGTGCCCACGTCCAACCCTTGTCACTCAGTCTTCCTGTTACTTCTAACCTATGCCACTCTTAGATTCAAGACCATGAGAGCTGAGCCTTAGAAATGGACAGACACAGCCAAGTATTTTCTATTAATTTCTAGAAGGTGAACGATTCTACATATGTCCATTTCATGGCCAGTCTCAGGGATGATCAAAATCAAACACCGCCAGAGACCAACCCTTAGCGCATCCATTAATGAGAACATGAGACTACTCAAATGAAAAGCTTAATCTTCTAATCTGAATCCTAATTTGGGAAATGAAAGTATTCACGGATGTGCCATATGGAAATAGCTGTGTTGCTTTTCATTTTCTCCTATTCCAATATTAGCTCAGCTGTTAGAGAGCTTTAGAGAGGGCGCTGTGTACATTTTATAAGCCCTTGAGAGAATAATTTTTAGCAGTACTTAAAAATTGGCATGTTTCCTTTAAACAATTTTGCTATTAAGATACAGGACTGGAAAGAAGGAAGAGTAAAGAGCAAAACAGTCAAGATCTCAAATCCAATCATTGTTGACTTTCCTGCAACCAACCACACAGGACCTGCAAACTGTCTTTCTGTTCCTTTTTTCAGAAATATTGTGGAAGCATAGCTACAAAGAGAGGGGGGAGAACGGGGAGGAGAGAAAACACTCACCTAGTTCCGGTGCTTTGCTGAGCACAAATGCATAAGCCCAGAATTTGCTGACTGGTCCATTGTAAAAACTCTGGTCACAAACTGACTGCTTGAGGCCTTTGGTCATCAAAATGTATACCATATAAGCACCAGTACGAAGAGCACCGAATATACTTCATAAAAAAAAAAAAAAAAAAAGAAAGAAAGAAAGGAAACAGCGTTTAGTAAGATCATTTCACTTCTGGCTATTGAGCATACTTACAGGACAGCTGGGCCCTTGGCAGGAAACAGGCAGGGAAGCGTCGTAATAATTTGTGTCTACCTGGAAGCATCTTGAACGGTTAAGGGCACGAGAGCTAACACAGTGCTCTATCCTCCAGAGCAGATGCGCTCCCACATCGTCACTAATGTTCCTAAAAGCGGTCGTGGATAAGCAGAATCTTCAGTGACCTTGGTGTTGCAGTTGAGAACTATTCCTTGGGGAGAACCTGGGGGTGGCTGTGAATCCTGGGAATTAATCTCAGCTCTGTCCTATGGCCAATCGTTCTCCTCCCTGAAAATCTGTTTATCTCTGTAAGCTAACTCTTCTACATCGGGCCTGGCCTTATCAATCCAGACTTCCTGGCTTCCGTGTGGACTCCTCAGGAGGCTCCAAACCCCGGTTCTGGGTGCCCACTTTTCACTGTAACTCATCTTTCTCAAAGAGACCAGAAGGCACCTCTTTCAAAGCTCAGCTCGCCTATATCATTTCCCCTAGGCAGCCAATACGAGGCAGAGATGAATGTTTCCCACAACCATGGAGTAACACACAGCTCAATGCTGTTCTCCAAAGCCCTCCACATAGACAGGGGTGCTCATCAAAGATCATTGAAAAAGTGGACTGTTGGAAAAAAGAAGAAAACCTGACATGAAAACAAAGGACCCCAAGGACTGCTAAGTTCACAAGAAGGCTCTGCAAATATGCTGTGTTCAGTAATACAGCCCGGAGTGTGAAAGGACTTGGCAACTGGAACCAGCAGCTTCCAGCAGCGAGTGCATCTGTGAAGTGTCTCTCCCAGAGTGTGCAAGACACAGCCGGGACTGAGAAAGAGAACTGGTCAACACAGAGGAGACACGTGCTTGCCTATCCTTTCTCTGCCCAAAAGGGCAGCAGCCACGTCAACTGGGAGATGAAGGAGTGAACATCTGTAGAACCGAGTGGCACCCTCACCAGACTGGGAGGTGGAGCTTTCTTATCTCCTCAGAGGCACTACACACACACACACACACACACACACATTAATTTGAAGCGTGTTAGAAGTGCTGTAAAGTGTCATTAAGGCTGCCCCTAAAGCCTGTGGTCACCAACTAGAACGACAGATCCACTTTGCAGAGGGCCCAGGTAATGAAGAATTCCTGGCTTCTATAAAGGCACAACACCTGCATCCATCAAATGGTGTCACTCTTTGCAATGCAAAAGATGACCCTGCATAGGATGATTTATTGTCCTCCGGTGGCGGTAGATCCTGTTCAGCCCTTCTTTGGCCTCCCTCAGCACTCAGAACGAAAATCCCAGCTCCTTCCCAGGACCAACCAGCCTCTGAAGGGCCTCTGTCCCCTCTTGTTCCCCTCTCTCCGTCTTTCCACGTGAGGCAAACCATTTCAGAAAGCACTTTTCAGATGCTTTCTGTTTCCTGCCTTAGGGCCTTTGCCCATGCCTTTTCCTCCACAGGGAGAGTTTTTCTCTCAGGTTCCTTAGGTTTGGCTCCTTCTGTCTCATCTCAAAGAAATTATCTCCTCCTAATGGGATGTCCTAATTTGGGGAGGAGGACTGTATTGCTAAACACAGATCATGAAGACTTTTGTCTTACTTCAAGTTTCTTTTTTTCTGTCTTGTCTTTACCATGACAGAAGATGGCTGAATTTTAATACAAAAACTTGTCACCATCACTATGTTAAGGTATTGCACTTACACACTTCGACTCGCTGCAACAGAATATGGAAGTGTGCGTGTGGTGTTTCCACTAAGCATGTGTAACACACACTGTTGGTTGTTCAGCCTATAGCCAAATTCCTTCCTCTTCCATGTTAACAGACAGCAATTTCTTCCAATGTATTCTTCCCCCAAGAAAGGTGATCTTAGCTCTAATCTAGGAATAAATCTTAAATATCTAAGCCAGTTTTTGTAATCTCATTTTCCTTACCAGTGATTTGTTAAGGTAGGCATGCGACCCAATTCTAGCCCATGTGATCAGAGGAGAAGGCTGCTGGTGGTTTGCCCTTAAACGTGTATTTCTGGAATGCAGCAATCATCTTCCACCACGAGGGAGTCACCTTGAGGACAAAGCCAGCTCAGGGAATATGTGGTAAATTCTTCAAGATGTGACTGAAGGGCTCAGTGAACCGTTCAGTGACTCACAAGCCTCCCTGTTTTTAAAACAATAAAACTTCCTCAGAGTATTAGCTGTTCACGGGTGTGCATTCGATTACTTGCAGCCCAGTGCATCCCAGCAGACACAACGCTCAAGGTCTGACTCTCAGCAGATGTCTGACAGTATTAACATGCTATGCAAAAGTTCTCTCTGTGACTCTAAGATGCATCTAGTCAAAATTAGTGTTGGTAGACCAGTTGCTATATTAGTTATCTGTTTATATAAACTGGTAAGGGAGAGGTCAATGACTTTTGGGTAACCCAGAAGCAAGGAAAAGTATAAATGACACACTTTCAAAATGTCAAGTCTTTGCTCCAGATTTACGACTTTGTTCAGATTCATCGGGCAGACTTTATAACACTTCCCGTCCCCCGCTACACTGTAGACCACCACCTCCAGAAATAACACGGCCCAGAGCTCTTCTCCCACTATATTTGCAGCTAGACTGTGTGCTGTGCACACGACTGAAGTTCATCCAAGGACAATATCTTTGAAATAGTTACTTTCCTTTCATCCTCTGGGGTTTCAAAATCAAGGTACTTTATCCCCAATTTCTAAAGCACAAGCTAGTTTATTTTTTTCCAGCCATTTAAATATTTATCAGCATGGTTTTTGATGCTGGGATGGCAAAAAAGAATGAGGCTCCGGCTGGTGGTGGCAGTCCTGGAAGGCTTCAGAGGAAATGGTGTTTGAGTTAGGGGCAAATCGGGATTTAAAAGTATGAAAGGAAGGGTATAGAGTGGTCATTTCAGGGCATTTTAGAAGGTTTTGGTTTCATGAGGACGCACAATATTGCTGACAACAAGCGTAGTGCACATATTATTGTCCCATTTCTGGACATAAGCCTCATTCCCTAAGCTCCAAACAATAAGGCTGACTCAGACCAGAGGACAGTGGCACTTTTCAGGGAAACCGTCAGTGCCAGCCATTGGGCCCATGTGTCTGCAGGCAAAGGCGCATTGTTGTGATGTGACAATGCTACTGATGGAGAGCAATGGGGGAGCTGCTCGGGCAGTGGGGTGATTGTTATTCGTGGGAAGCCATGAGCTCTGCCCCTGGCACGTCTCAGCCACTGCACGCTTTGGAACCAGGTGGCTTCTATGATAACAGTGTCACACTGTGGCACTTTTATCAAAATATACTTTAAGATGAGGAGACATTTTTCTTTGCCTGTGACATTATCTTGCAGCAGGCAATTGTGAGCTTCTTTTTTTTTTTTCTTTTATTTATTTATTTATTTATTGGCAGGCAGAGTGGACAGTGAGAGAGAGAGACAGAGCAAAAGGTCTTCCTTTTCCGTTGGTTCACCCCCACCCCCCCAAGTGGATGCTGTGGCCAGCACACCATGCTGATCCAAAGCCAGGAGCCAGGTGCTTCTCCTGGTCTCCCATGAGGGTGCAGGGCACAAGTACCTGGGCCATCCTCCACTGCACTCCCGGGCCACAGCAGAGAGCTGGCCTGGAAGAGGAGCAACCGGGATAGAATCTGGCGCCCCAACTGGGACTAGAACCCGGTGTGCCGGCGCCACAGGCGGAGGACTAGCCTATTGATCCGTGGTGCCAGCCTGAGCTTCTGTTCTGCCACCTCTAGCCCTGCCTATGTCAGACATTGCTAATCCATTTTGCCACTCTTTCTGGCCATGTCTGGTGGTAGCACTGAAGTTCTCGAAGCTACTACTTCAAGCCACTGCTTGCAGTTGCAATTTGAAATGTTTGTATTTACTGGGCTCCAACACAGCTCCATCATTTACTGGTGTCATCAATAGCAAGTTATTAAGTGTTTTCACTCATGTGAAATGAGGATAATATCCAACTTGCAAAATGTGTTCTAAGACTTCTGTAAAGCAACATGAAAGCATTTTGTTAGCATTGAGTCTCTGATACACGGGTGCTCAGTAAAAGCTTTTACTGCAGTACTCGTATTCCCTTACTCGTCGTTGTTGTAACTGACGCTGCGATGCATTCCTGTGTTGAATACCACCATTACCTCACTCATCTCACTCCGTCAGGGAGGAGATCAAGGCTAACGGCCTTTAAGTGAAGTCAAGGCAACCGATTTATAGAGAATTTGCTTGCTCCACTGCTTCCTATTGCAACAAGAAGTCTACTTGTATATAAGAAGGACCTTCTATCACTGAGAAACTATACATCAATTACAAGAATTTTTTTTCCACCAAAATAAATTTATCTCTTAATTTTATGTCCCATGGACTTTTTGAAGCCCCCCTCATCTTTTGCTCCCCACAGTGCTGGTTGTATTGCTGGGCAGTTCACCAGGCCAAGGCTGCCCTGTGATAAACCCACATCCTTGTTGGTCTCTCATCTCCCAAGGGCTCAGTAGCTGCCTTCCCTTTGCCGGGAGACGTACTGTCTGGTTTTTAACAAGCATTCTACCCGCACTCATGGCCTGGGTTCAAGGGGCTGACCCCTGAGTCTCAGGGCATCAGTCAGGGTCATCATTCCCACAGCTCTTCTGGGCAGTTCCCTGAGGCCTGGGAGGCTGCTCTTACACAGTGGCCCTTCCCCAGCAGAGGGATGCAGACGACTGGTGGCCCCTGCGGGGCAGAGCTGCTGTCTGGCAATAGTGGGAGTAGGCCAGAGTGTGGTCAGGGAGCCCTGCAGCTGGGGCACGTACAGACAGCTCCAAACCCAGCAGGCTGCGTCCAGATGTCAGCTCCCATGCTGATAAAAGTTGATCACATGTGAGCCCTTCACAGCACAAGTTTCAGTGACAGCTAGCCAGATCACGCAGAGGATGAAGTG